GGAGAAGAGGTGAAAAATTGAGGTGGAATAGATGAGAATTGAGGGGAAAAAAAGAGATAAAAATTGAGGGGGGATTTGATAAAGATTGAGGGGGGAATAGATGAGAATTGAGGAAAGGGAGAGGAAAATTGAGGAGAGAGAGATTGAGGGATTCAGGGAAAAGAGAGAAAAGATTAAGGGGAAAATAGAAGAAATTAAGGAAGAAGAGAAAAAATTAAAGGAAAATATTTAGAAAATAAGGAAGGATAATTTTAAAAATTAAGGGGGAAACAGATAAAACAAGGAAAAAAATAAGGAAAATAATAAGGAAAAATATATAAAAATAAGGAAGAATATACAAGAATAAGGAAGAATATACCAAAATAAGGAAGAATATACAAAATAAGGAAAAAATATATAAAAAATAAGGAAAAATACATAAAAATAAGGATAAATATACATAAAAAATAAGGAAAAATAGACGAAAAATAAGGAAAAATAGACAAAAATAAGGAAAAATACACCAAAAAAATCAGGAAAAAATTGTAAAAAAATTTAAAAAATAGCAAAAAAAATTAAAAAAACAAACTAGGAGGTGGTGGCGGCGATGAATTCGTACTTCACGAACCCGTCGCTGCCGTGCCACCTCGGCGGCGCGCAGGAGGTGCTGCCCAACGTGGCGCTGAACTCGAGCGCCTATGACCCCGTGCGCCATTTCTCCAGCTACGGAGTGGCGCAGAACCGCTTRTACTCCGCGCCTTTCTACGCGCCCCAGGACAACGTGGTGTTCGGCTCGGGGAGAGCTCCCTACGACTACGGCTCCAACGCTTTCTACCAGGACAAGGATGTGCTGAGCAGCTGCCGCCAGAGCTCCGCGCCTCACGGCGCGCAAAGTTCCGCCATCGCGCAGGATTTCCCGAGCGAGCAGAACCGCGGGGGAAGCGCGGSAGCGGCCGCGCAGGAGCAGAAAAGCGGCGGGATTCAGATTTACCCGTGGATGCAGCGCATGAACTCGCACAGTGGTAAGGGGAGAGGGATTTTTCATTATTTATGTGTTTGTTCGGGTTTGAAATCCTTTAAATTTTTAATTTTTTATTATTTTTTTATTTCCTTGCTCTTTCATTTCGTTACTCTTTCATTTCCTTCCTCTCTTATTTCCTTCCTCTTTTATTTCCTCATTCTTTCATTTCCTCACTCTTTCATTCCGTTACTCTTCTATTCCGTTACTCTTTTATTTCATTGATTTTTTATTTCGTTGATTTTTTTATTGTGTTTACTTTCTTTATTTTGTTGATTTTTTCCTTGGTTCTTTCTTTATTCCGTTAATTTTTTTATCGTGTCTATTTTTGTATTTACGTATTTCCGCCTTTCTTTATTTTCTTCCTTTATTTCC